TGGGAGATTATTTTAAACAATGTAAATTTTTAGATGATTTACAATAGGAAATTTATTTGATTATATATTTGTATAGTTGGAGTCTCGCGAATAAAAATTCGCGACAACTTTCCCCATCGCTGAGTATATTTTTAAAACTGGATTATACTATACCAGCATGAATAGTTTTTAGCATCTTTTTTCCAGCAGTGAAGTTAAGGCTGTAAATTTCATACTAAATTATTCAGACTTCTTATTAAAGAAAAAAATCGCTACTTTTGAACAATCAAAATAAATATATCGAGTAAACAAAGTAATATTTGGATGAGCAAGGACGAGTGGAGTTGTTTCTATCGTGTAACTTTACAAAGTTTACCAAAAGAATCAGGAAAGAGGCAGGTAAGACTAAGCTGGGAAAGTAACAGCCAGGAAAAGAGATTACTGAAAAGGAGTTTCCTGTTTGAATGCGGCCAACATCATCAATTCATCACCGAACCAATAAGAGTTTGCATCGATCCTCTATCCTTTCCTTTTTCGCGCATTCTCATCCTATTCCATTTCTTTTATAAAACCTAATAAGGCCTTATAAGTAAGGATTTGGTTCATCCCACGGCGTCAGCCCTACTTACCAAAAATAGCCTTCTTGGAGCACACACTGTCTACGTTCATTTAAGCAAGTGAGATGTACCATATCCATTGAAAATTTGAGAACAGGTTGAAGATGTTGCGTTCCACAATTTCTCTAATCATTCTCTTCACCAAATATAATTGCTTCAAAATGTTTACTTCAACCCTCCTGAGGGGAACTTAGAACCAGCTACTAGATAGTTCGGTTGGTCTTTTGTCCCCTTCACCAAACTCAGCAGATACTTACTAACCTACTTATTGCCGATCTCCGGTCCCCCCTTTCTTTCATCGACTTGGACATTAACATAGTCAATCCACTAGTAGATATCTAAAAGCTTTGCAAAAAATATTTTTAGTCTCCGTTATATTATGATTTTATTGACACTCATTTTAGCTACACTTATTATAATCATCACTGGATTTATTGACAGACGCATGTTAATGTATTTTGAGCATGTTGTATTGTAACTTGTCTTCAGTTATTCATATGGATAACTGAAGTTACAATACAACATGCTTAAAATACATTAACATGTGTTCCTTTCGATTTCATCAAATACATTTTTTTTTATCACAATCAATATAAATAATTGAACAACCTATAATGCCAAACACAGATCGTAAGTAGTCGCAAAATTGTTTCGATGTCTTAAATGACCCAAATTTAAACATAGTTGTCAGCAATAATTATGAGAGTTGAGCAATAAGACACAAAAGAAACCTGCGAAATAACTCATGTTTTATCATTTCATTATAAATCATATGGTAGTGATAAGTAATCTTATTACCAATAATCAAGACCGTTCAACAACTTCGTTGATTACTTCGTGTAAGTTTCAGTGAGTTACGTCATCCAATGGTCAAAGGAAATGAAAACCCAGATTGTTCTACATTTTGTACACAATCAAACACAAAGAACTTCCGCACTTTCAGTATACACTAACACTAATTAATACTGTACATATTTATCATGCATACGTGCTATATCACTGGCTTGCAACATTCGGTTTATGGACTTCACAACTCATTAAAATCAGTCAGTAAGAGTGTCACTAATAATGATTCCGAGGGTGCCAATAAATTCTAGTCACTGAACATGCATGCAGTTGCATCACTCAGGATTTCGACAATTTCCAATTCAAAAATTAGTGCGTATCATACAACTGAACAACATAACGCGATTATTCATGAACACATGATAACAGTGTAACTCAATCCGTGATGCATGATTGTACAAAAAATTACTGCATGATAATAGCTGTGACTTTTCTAAATTTGATACACGTTATAAATAAAATTGCATGGGCCAGAATGACTGAATCAACAAACGTGGTCGGGTTCAGTGTTCGTACACAATTATGCAGACTTCGCAATTTGTTTTCAAGGCCAAAATCCTGATTCTTCAATGTAAAGTGTTTCTGAAATGAAGTTGCAGTGTAAAAATGTTCTAACCTGCTTCGTTAAACAAACTTCAAAACTCACCATCTGAAATAAACGATGAAACTATATAGAAAACTACTTTAAGGACGAAGCCATTCTGATGCAAATAGTCGGATAATGTTGTATCCTCACGAGCAATAGATGGCATATATTCCCGCTGGAAATCACGGCGCCAATAGTCCTTCGGCCACTCATCTCTGTGACAAAATAAATATGAAACATACCAAGAATCCTTCTCATGAAAACAAAGTCCAATACCATCAATACAATGTAACTTACCTCAAACTGATCTTGGTATAATGATAAAGGTAAAGATCTGCTCGGATAAAATTTGGAAGCTTCTTTTCAAATGGATACTTCTTCATAAGATAAGTAACTGAAAAATTTTTTGTTGGTCCTCATGAAACTGAAATTCATAGCATCTAACGAAACACAACAAAATATGACAGACCTAGAAACTATAACCTTCAATCTTAATTTTAATTTATATTCTACACTTGATCGTACTTTTTCGAACTGAAAGAAAATATTTCACCTTCTGAATTATTTCGTAACAAATGATAAGCGAGAGAAAGAAAGAAAGCGTTATTATGATAGGTTCCTAGAGCGGCAAACCACATTTGCCAATCCAAGCGTGGCTGATGTGGCACTAAAAAAGAAAAGTATCACGTCACATATAAACTATCAAAGCACATCGTAAACTATGACCATTCACAACCAAAATCTCATTCGAAATCTTTCACGCCAAAACCAGAATTCAACGTCAAGCTTTTAGAAGGGCATCTGATCTTTCAACTCAAACAGAAAACATTTAAACTCAAGAACAAAGAAATGTATTACTAAAAGGACTAAAAATATTTTGATCATATATAATCTCTCACATACGAATCGTGGTCTTTCGTTGAGTTTTCCAGGTTTTGAATAGAAGTCAAACATATTCCAAGGACCATTCAGTTCATAGGAACCTTCTAAGATTATTTCCGGTCGACCATACAAACCAGACATCCTACAATTTCATTAATCGGGAAAGCTTTCTTCATAACTAAACGAAAAATGACATGAGATGCTTTTGTTGACTTAAAATCACCGCATGCATAACTCTGACGAATTCTTTGTGAATAACCACACTTTCTAAATAATCCATATGGATGAGTTAGTTCGTAGGATTCCACATAACGATGCATATATTTTACCACAGCGGGGATTTGTACCTGTGCTCGACTACTTATGACAACAAATGATACCTGAATCTATAGGCAATGAAATGAGTGAGACAAGCATATTACTAAACTAACAGTGCAAAAAGATTTTAACATATGGGACCTTGCAAGCCATTAAAATAAGCCTGGAAACAAATCACAACTATTTATGAAAATAGTTGTTTCCAAAATCTAGAAATTGCGCAAAATTTTTGAACGGAACAACATAATCAAACTATATACAATAGAAATTAAACCATGCTGAGTACTTCACTAAGAACTGACCAAATTTACAATAAAATCACATTTCTAATATATAGCCCATTGATGGGGAAAAAAAAATGAGAAAAATTGTGAAATGTAAAACATACGGTACTGATTGAAAAGAGGAAAGTTGCAACGACGATTACATAAACCAGATGGAATAATGAACGCAACTTTGATTCGCGAATTTCAGTAAAGTACCTGAGTTTTAAGAAATTTAGAAATGAAATATCAACTTATATGATTACGCTTGGCAACAGAATTCAACACAACCTACCTCAATACTGCAGTAATAATTTCAGCTACAAAGTTAGTAACTCCAATGTATAATAACCAAACAGTCGACTCTTCAACAAATTCGTCAAATTGTTGAATACTAAATCCTGAAAAACCTCAAATTTTCAATAACTTTAGCAAAAGAGTTTGCATTGCTACAAGTGGACAGTCCACCATGACCTATGAAGTCCAGCAATTTTATATAAAAAATGACAAAACAAAAGAAAAAAGGACCCACCAATTGAAGACGTTACTTTAAAGCCATCAATATCAACATTAAAATAATGAACGAAAAAGTATAGGGTTGATGCTATCAAAACAGCCGATATCATTGTTCCTAAGCGTGTCAGGGAACGCTCATATCGGGGATATATGCCCTTCGTAGCTAAAAACTGAATTTTATAACCAAATATAGAACAATTATCGAAAATCCAATAGAGCAAAAAGTAAATAGCATACAAAACAACATGCGTTCTTCTGCTACCCATCCATATCACTCTATTCAGGTCACTGCGATTCATATTACCTAATTCTAACATTTAAATTTGGGATCACATTTTAAAAGCTATTATGACATTGAAAATTGTGCATATTCGCAGCTGCATCATCAACTGCTCATCAGGAAAGCATGGAAGAAATCAAATGCTTACAAAATCTGAATTCGTCCGAATCCACCAATACTGCTACACACTCGACTGATATAAGAAGGTTGAAGAAGTTGTAGTTACCCGTTGCCATAATTAAACACATAAGTAAAATCTTCAAAGTAATTTTTAACACAAATTTAATTAAAAGAGTGCAGAAAAATTTTCTAAAAAAAGCAAACCTGAGGACCGAACGAAAAATACCGTGCATATTTGAATGGCAATAAAAATAAAGGAGGCAAAATAATTTTAATATAGAGTGTGAGAGCAGTTGAAAAATGCTTGAACCATTTTGGAACCATATGAACATAATAAGAAATCCATGTGGGCACACACTGGCTTTCGAAATGTACGTCCAGTGCTGTGAAATTTTGAATTTTTACTGCATTTGTTACATTAACGAAAAATAACTGCAATGAATTTAGGTTTATTCTTAGGTCTTCATGAAACATACCTGCGAGATCCCACCAAAGAGGGCAATGGCTAGTGAGTTTGACCACGCCTGATGCATATATGAGCCGGAATAGTAACCAGCGCATCAAGTACAATGAAATGTTATCTGCTGGTGAAGGTCCAACGAAAGGTAACGGAGCTATGATAATACATATTGCTCCAGATTCAACAAGAAGACTGTCCCATTGGAACCGAAGAAATACATCGCCAACCTGTAGAATTCAGACAGAATTTCAATTATTTAGCGATAAATCACTCATGCAACTTATTATGAACCCTAAGTGATACGAATTGATATATGTAATTCGTACTTATAGACAAGTCGTTTACAAAAACAAGTACGCATTACATACTGGTTTATGTGAGTTAAATATCAACCTGGACTGCGGTAGAATAGACAACAAGCAGAAGAAGATATGTGATGGCATTACGCACTAAGTCGAACATTATAGAAAGGGAAGCAATCGCTATTCCGAACAAAACAACAATTTGTAAAGCATAGGATGGTGCTATACAGAAAAAGTTTATCACAACCGGCAAAATATTTACGCCATTTCGGTATGACTGACATGATGATTTGTCTGAAAAGCATATATTGTTTTCAAATTCTCTCTTTCATGGGCTCATTTAGACTTCGCCTAGATGGAAATTCAAGCCTTCCAAATATTAATTCAAAACCACAAACCACGAGATTAATGATGCACTTTAATGATATACAAGAATGCGGGAATGAAAAATGTAGTCAAACGAGGGAATGAAGGGAATGAACTTCTGTAGGAAACGATGAAATGAACTCACATTCCTTTAGACAAGGCAATATTTTTTAGGAAAAAGAAGAGAAGTGATTAGTATTACCAAATTTTTAGAAGCATTTTAGGTAACAAGGAGAAAAACATAGCTTGGAAGGATGATAATTGGAGAGAATATAACTAGCTTAATGAATAAATCTTATCTGTTTGTCTGCTTTTGCATTATTTTCTTGCTATGAAACATATAGAGATAAATGAATTATAATGAATTTTAAGAGACATCCCAGAATGGGAGTCCAAAATATAAACTCATTGTCTTTTTCAAAAGAAATTTGCAATATAAAAGTAAAAAACCCACCACAAGTAAGTTTCGATGCCACTGGGATCAGTCCGTTCTCTCCATAAAGTCCTGAAAATTTTTATGGATTAATGAAGCAGAGGAAAACTCCCCCGTTAAAATTACATATCTTCACTTTCATGGAAGATGAACGAAAAAAAAATGCTGGAAAGTTTCTCAATATCATTTGAAAAAAAGCGATGAATTTGTAGTGCAGAAATTATTCACCAAAAAAATGAATCGTATACCTGGTATCTGCCAGTAGAGCGAGGTCAATGCCGCCAAATAAACGAATGAATGACCAATTAGTATGATATCTTTCACTATTTTACTCTTCATTTTGGTATTTTGAATTCCTTTTACACTTAAAATAAATAAGAAGACTAATAGAAGACTCAAACTGTACAATTATACTATTTATGACATAATACAGAACACGGAACATAACAGAAGTGATTTAAAAATAAAATTTTGTGCAGTGAGCCATATTTGTTCAGTTCTCCTCTTTGTTATGCAGTAAGGGATGCTTCGTTCCTGTTGCACCATAATAAAATTACCTCAAGGAGAATCGATTTCACTAATGCCAGCTGGCCAGATAACTGTCTTTTGAAATTGACAAGTTTTATCAACGTTTCCTTCCCACGGATCTTGACAAAACAAGATAGTATCTAAACGAATTCCTGATTGCGAGTAAATCGATCTGAAAATCGTCTACATCGACTAGGAAAGACAATGCGCACTAACGACGTTATGTGAATAGAGCGGCATATTGCGGATCAATCGTGCACCCGCATGCTAGTGTTTAACATTCAAAATATGCCGAGAAAACCCAATCGGCAACCAGAAATGAACGCACAGCAGTTTTTCG